TCATCGAGTTCTTTCTCGCTCCTTTCACCCGCCGCTTTCGCCGAGCCGCCACTGACAGTTTGGTGGCCAGGACGACAAACGCCACACCGCAAATCGTAAGTGCCGCGACAAAGACGTACACCTGAGCGACGCAGTGGGCGTCCTCTTTCTGGTCAACTTTGCAGCCTCCAAGGTGAAGAAGGAAGTCACGAGGGCTTTCATTGAAGAAATCCTTTAGATAGAGAAGAATTTCAGCCAGTTTCACTTTGATCACTGTGTTGATCTTCTGCGGAGCTTTTTCCTCGGTCAAAGTCGTTTTACCGCTGCTGCTGGAGTTGCTGAAGTTTCCAAGTGTTAGAGGCTGCTGCAGGACTACCACCTCAGCCTCATCGTCCAAACGGGCCTGCAGATTCTTGACTGACGCTGACTTCAACTGCTGGTGGTGCTGGTCATCATCGGGAATTGCTCCGGAGTTGAACTCCCGCGTTGATTGCGCCTCTTTGGATCGCTGGAACTGCTTTGCCTGGCAGCTGAAAGGGAAGAACAGCATCACCAGAAATAGAAACCGAAGAGAGCTCATGTTGACAAGCGACCTGGACAACGCTAACTAGCAGAGAAAAAGTAAGGCCCATCAGTTTCTCTGCACTCTCTCTCTTACTCGCTCACTCACTTTGGCCCCTGCACTGCTAGGCCCATCCTATTTCAGCACAGAATTGTAATCATTTTCCTCTTCTTCTATTTTTACCTCAGCGCACAACACTTTTGGACCACTCCTCTGAATCTCACACTCCGTATCAATTTATCAGTCATGTCATCATTGCCATCAACACCCGTCTTCACCTTTCTCCCCGCTCGTCAGGTGAACCTCCTCTGCCCAGCTGCTGCTGGCAANTCTCTCTCTCTCTCTCTCTCTCTCTCTCTCTCTTACTCGCTCACTCACTTTGGCCCCTGCACTGCTAGGCCCATCCTCTTTCAGCACAGAATTGTAATCCATCTCTTCTTCTATTTTCACCTCAGCGCACAACACTTTTGGACCACTTATCTGAATCTCCCACTCCGTATCACAATTTATCAGTCATGTCGTCATTACCATCAACACCCGTCTTCACCTTTCTCCCCGCTCGTCAGGTGAACCTCCTTTGCCCAGCTGCTGCTGGCAAACCAGGAGGCGGCAAACCAGTCTGGCTCTCCCTTCAGCACCACCACCTTCTCCACAGCTACATCAGCGAGCGTCTGGTCGCCGAGCTAGGCCTGCCCACCTACCCGGATCCTCAAAACGAGGGGCGAACTCTGGTCGATGTTCCCCTGGCGGGCGGGAGTACCACTCTGAAGCAGTGCATCGTCGTCCCGAATTTCGAACCACTGAAACAGCTGGTGCCGAGCAAGTTTTTTCAGGAGCTGCGCAACACCGGCGCCACCACCGGCTCGCCAGGAGCCTGCGAAGAGGACTGGAAGAGTCCGGCGCTGAAGAAGTCCCTGGTGACGTTGGCCGAGGTGGACTTGAAGGTGCCCACTTTTTTGGGCCTGGACACGGATCAAGATATTGAGCCGGTGGAGGTAAGAGTAGTCATGTTTCGATGAAAAAGAGGTTGATTGTATCCATGTTTCGAACATCACATCTCCACAGGAGGAAATGGAGATTCTGCTCGGTCAGCAGCACTACATCACCCACCTGCTACTCGACGTCGCCAATCAGACCTTCCTCCGCCCGACGGCGGACCTGCTCTACTCTTACACGCGTCTCAATGATTGCTGTGGTGGTGGTGGTGGTGGTGAAATCGACGACGACGAGGATGATGGCGACACAAAGCCAATCGAAAAAGGTCCCCTAAACACCTGTCGCTGGGTGCTCACCGGCTGCCTGCGAACCGTGGCCGACCTTCGACCGCTGCTCGAGTTTGACGACGAGGCTGACTTTGAGGTGGTGCCCAGCTTTAAGAAGAAGGTGAGTTTTCAAAACTTCGCCTTTTTATCCTCCGCTTGATCTGATCTGTTTTTTTTGCCATCAGATTCCCCCGCGCACAGGTCTGCCCGTTCCCGCTGAGCCCTTTCCACTCTACCAGTCGACCCTTTGCGCCCTCGTCTCTTTTGCTACCAACAGAAACAGCAGCGATTCCTGGCTTCCCGTGCGCATTCTCTACAGTCCCACCTCACCTCGCTCCTACCTGACGCTGGAGGCACTTGAGCGGCTGCTGAAGCACGAGAAGGGCAACTTCCATTTCGCTCAACTCGACTATTACTTTGCGATTCGAATTCAGCGAAAAGCTGCCGGCGGCGGTGATAAGGATGAGGATGATAAGGAAGAGGGCAAACAACAGCAGCCAATTCAGCTGACGCTGCCGGTGCTCGACACGGTGCAGACCTGCACCCCAGTGCCGGCGCTGGTTGCTCATCAGCTGCTGGCCAGCTACGACGTCGAGCTGTCTGACGGAGGTGGCGGTGGCGGTGGTGGCGGTGGTGATTGCAACAAGATCATCGACCTGGTCATCGGCCAGGACTACGCCTCTCGCCTGCTGCCCGCCGCCGCCGCCGCTCCCGTGGAGATACCCGTGGCCGCCTGTGAGCAGCTGCAGTCAGGTCTGCTGCTGCAGACGAAACTAGGCTGGACGCTGAGCGGTTTCGGTGACGTGGCGGACTGCTCAATTCCCGTTGATAAGGAGGAGGAGGAGAAGAAGAAGCAGAAAGAACTGGAGATGATATTTACATTTGGGAAAAAATAGAACTTGTTTTTTTTGACCAACTCGCTCAATTCAACTCAAAACACTGAGTTTGGGGTTTAGTAAACAAAACAAAACCGAACAGAACAGTTTGTAAATAAATAAAGTTGACTGAAAATCACTGGTTATCAGTGTTATGGCCTCTTCTGCGAAGCACCGTCTGCTGAGCGAGATATCGGAGCTGCGCCGGAGCCCGCTGGAGCACATCAGCGCCGGCCCGGTGACCGACTCGAATCTGTTCGTGTGGGCGGCCACGCTGACCGGCCCGCCGGACACGCCCTACGTGGACGGCCTCTTCTCGCTGGCCATTGACGTGCCCGAGGAGTATCCGTTCAGTGCGCCGAAGATTCGCTTCACGACGCCCATCTACCACCCGAACATTAGTCGAGGTAGGTGGGAGATTTGTGGTGGTGGTGGTGGTGGTGGTGGTGGTGGGTTCTTCTTTCGAAATTGAGCTGGGAAAACAAACTCTCTCTTTCTCCGCCCCCCAGATGGGACCATCTGCCTGAACGTCCTCTACAGCAAGTGGAGCCCGGCGCTGACCATTGGACAGGTAAGTTGGATGTTTGTTTTGGTGGTTTGGCTTCTAAATAGAGTTTTTCCTTTTCTTTTCTTTCTTTCTTTTTCAGCTGCTCCTTTCCATCCTCTGTCTGCTCGCCTCGCCCAACGGCGAACACGGCATGGAGCCGGACATTGTGCTGCAGTTCAACGAGGACCCGGCTCGCTTTCGCCAAACCGCCCAGGAGTGGACCAAGAAGTGGGCGATGAAGTAGAGTGGAAGGAGAGCTGGTGCTTAGAGAGAGAGAGAGAGAGCAGCCACAAAATCGATGCCAATGAACTCAGCCAGACGCTTTGTGAACAAAAAAGTAAAAGTGCCACTTAAGTGCTCTGCTCTTTTCGCCCCTATGGCAATTAAAAAACTGCGTCGAGAGAAAGAGATGTAGATCAGCAGTGCTGATAGGAGACGGGAGAGTACAACCAAAGATAAAAAGAGTGAAAGTGTCTCTAAGAGGTCTTCTAAATCTGCAGAACTGGTTACAAGGCAAAAAAAAGCAAACTACGACTTGACCACAAAGAAGAAGTCACGACAACCATTCATCACACACACAGAGTCACTTCCCACACAGACACACACACACACACACACACACACTGCAAACACTGTCCTTGACTGCTTCTAAGAACATTCTTGCCAAAGAAGGAGACGCTCTGCTTAACAACTTGGCAACTCAACTCAGCCGTCAGTTTGACGTCTTTCTTTCAGGAGAAATAGAACCCCTCGTCAGTGCCTCACCGAAACATACAGACAGACAGACAGACAGATAGACAGACAAACAAGCCTAATCTGTCATTGTCCGATAGGTCCTCCTCGCCGCCGACACTTAATATAGCTACTGAATAATTTATTACCCATTACAGTGGTAATGAATTCACAGCCAGTAATGGATTCATTCAACCCTACCTGCTGACCATAGCAAGAACAAGTTTACTCGCGCCTCATCACTCTCACTTTCTTACACGCCAAAAGTTGCACCTCGTTTCGATTTCACTTTTTTGCTTAGTATCTGAAAGTAGCATCGCCGGGAAGCTCACAGATTCGTCTACCTACCTACCACTTTTTTTGATGCGCTGCAGTATAAAAAGGCGACCATCGACCAAGTTGCCCAATCTCTGCAGAGCCTCTGTCGTCGCGGTCGTCTCATGACCACCACGTAATCACTTTCTTCTTCTTCTTCTTCAGCCTGTGGTCTCCGCGATCGACAACACAACAGAAAACACTGCATCTGTTTTGTTTTGTTGCGTTTTTGATCGATGCTGGTACTCGTTTGATTGACGGCTCTGCAGCGTAGACTTCTTTTCGACCATCCAGGTTTCCCTCCAACGGTAGTGACTTAAGGCAGCACTCGCCGACTTCAAAACAGAGAGAGAA